GGTAAAAAATAGGCATTATATAATTTGACTTTGGCATCAGTATTAATTAGTTTCTTATGTCTTTGTAAGACTTGAATTTGCTTGCCAACCTTCCGTGCTATCTCTGTAATGTGTTTGCTGAATTTTAAATCTCTATCGATAGTTACACCTAGTAACTTGACATCATCTGCAAGACTGACCACCTCACYACCAATGGAAAAACAAGGTGTGTTTATGCCCTTGCTCTTGCCTAGCCACATGGTAGTACATTTATCAGGATTCATCATGAGGCCGTTGGAGCAGAACCACGAATGAGCAGTGAGAAGATCAGACTGCAGATGCCTATGTAGTAGAGAAACATCATTACTAACATCAAAATGAATGGATTGCACTGTTCACCGTTTGGCTATTGCTTCCCCTATGTACGCCGAAAATTTTCAAGGAAGTCATATCAAGCAATTGTCATGATATTGAAAGCATTATTATTGCTAGTATTGTAGCAGTTTTGGTTTCCGTAAAAGATCACTTGTCATTAATTATTGTTTGCAGTTTCGAACTTTTATGAATCATGCATATTTATTTCCTTATTTTCTAGGTGACTTCCCCTTTAGCTTATTTTCCCGATATTGTTACATAAATAACTGGGGTTATATTATTGTAACGAAACACAACCGACGGTTTCTTTTCTGTACATGTGATTTATCGCTGAGCTAAACTTTGTCATTTAGCAATAAATAGCAAGCATTTCAATTCTCTATATAGCTTGTAAAACACGTCCTCAGCAGTAATCAANATTTATCGCTGAGCTAAACTTTGTCATTTAGCAATAAATAGCAAGCATTTCAATTCTCTATATAGCTTGTAAAACACGTCCTCAGCAGTAATCAAAAACAGTGGTGTAGCTGGATAGTTTTGTAACTTTTTTGTGATAAAACATCGTTTACGTTTAGCGTCTTTCTCGACAGATAAATCATCAACAAAACAAACCAAGGAAGGTGCAGAGCTCGATATTTATGGAAAAGACTGTATCTGTCAGGGTCCTTCTTGGAGTACTACTGATTGTCGCCGTTTGTTTGGAAAGTAAGTTTGCAATGTCTATCCATTCTTCCGTTTTCGCTTTGATAATTAGAGCAATATGGTGCAGCTGGTGAACGTTCGTTAGTTCTTTACATTTCTTTCGTTCGTTGATTAGTTTCGTTCATTCGTTCGTTCGTTCCTTTTTTTTTCTTTCTATCTTCCTATCCTTCTATCTTTATTTCTTTTTTACGATTTATATATTATTTCTAAGTATCCACGAGACAATTGTTTTGGGATAGAACTGCATATATTTTATTACCATATTTTTTAATGGATTTTCCCAACTTGAAAAGTTCCTTATTATAATCTCTCTGATTCGTAAAGCAACTGGTTGGGATGACGAAAACAATGATATTGTTGCTACATCAAACGCTAGTGAGGATTTCTTCCCTTTAATTAACTGCTGACGTTGAGAATTCCTTTCGCTTTGATTATTACAAAACAGAGCTTTTAAGTTGTGACGTATTTCCGGTTCCAACTGCTCACAAAAACCGCGCTAAAATACAATAAAGTAAAATATGTTTTCAGTCAATGTTTTAAACTCTAGCTGACACGATTAGACTTTGGACAACAAGTTCTATTTTAATTTGAAGAAAAAGCAGGGAAAATCTGCTGCTCTTTTCGTTTTCGACCTGGAAGTCGTTTTTTCATAAAAGTGACGTCAAACTTCATTTCCTGTCATTTCGTGTCATGTTTCGTGTTCATCAGCTGAAGCGCAAGTTATCCAACTAGGCATAAAATTTTCCCGGCATTTCAGACCACATGTCATGCCCTTTAATGGTTGCACATGAGAAGACACATGAACATGGATACAGCTCAAACAAAGAATCTTATTTTCAACAGTGACACGTAGTCTGATGGGAAAGTTTTATGCCTAGAAAACCGCGGATTAGGTCTATTGCGTCATTTTCACTACCACTACCAGAATCCCTTGCCCCCTTTCCTCTGTCCTCCTGGCTCATGAGGGAATATGCTTTTGCACAATAAAGAAGATTCGCGAAGCTATGCCTGAGGTGGCAATGATAAAAATCAGGCCATAAAGCAGACCCCCATACACCCTTATCAAGGGGCAGATCAACGAAGGGATAACTAGCTCATCTAGGGGACGCGGAAGCTTACGTGTATTTCACTGGAAAAAAATATCTCTGAGAAAGCAAGATTGACATTTTGTTTCCGGGAGTGACCCCCTACCCTACCCACACACAGTCCAATTCTGTGTTAAATGTCTTAATATGACACGCAGGTACAGATGTGAGTGACTCCCTACCCTACCCGCACACAGTCCAATTCTGTG